GGCCAGTGAAGCAACGTCCTCCACAACTAGACTGAAGAACCAAAGGACAGCAACTTGTCTGTTCCCCTTCCCCAATTCTCCAACGCTGTTCCCCTCCCCCAATTTCCCAATAAAATCTTAAAAATAAATAAATAAATAAATAAATAAATAAATAAATGGTTAAGGATATTTAGACTTTAAATCACAAAAGGAAAAAACATCGTACAAAGAGAAAGCAAAAGTGTAAAAGATTCTTGCTCACCTTTCAATCTATGAATCTAATCATAAAGAAAAGGAACATTTGCTTTAAATGTATCATTGCAAACAGTTCAAACCACATCGAGATAGCCGGCAGGATAATGTTTCTTCACACAAGTTGATGTGAAATGCATTATTCTTCACAGAGGCTTCCTAAGGCTAAGATCTAACTTCCTCCCACCACCCTTCGTTCCCAAAGAAATCATGAGCAGATAAAACCACCTCTATTTAATGTGATTTCCTAAATACTATTCAGTTTTTTGTTTGTTTTTAGTAAAGTGCTAAAAATCACACTACGAAGGTACAACCATTAAAGTACAACCACTAGTTAACAACCCTTTCAGATGTTGAAAATGGTCACTACTGTCAATAGCAGCTGCTGGAGAAGAGTTATGCTAAGGATTATAAAACATCTCCAATTTCGTCTCAAAATAGAGAGTTGAATGGGAAATGCAAGAGAAGTTAAGGGAACACAGGCGTTAGAGTTACGCGGTGTTTGTGGAAACAATATGCTAGTAAGCAGGTTTTCAAAAAATTATTTTATCTACAGGAAGGGGGACAGTGAAGAAATCTATTTAGGTGTAGATTAAGTTTGAGTTCAGAGAGTGTGTTCAAACAAACAAAATGCAGATCAGATGCATTAGGAAGTTTAATGGTGCTGACTCCACAAGGTGCCACTAGTGCTTCTCTGTCACTCTTAGGCCATTCCCGTGTTAGTTCTGGGAAGCCAGCTCCACAGGGAGAGGTTCTTACAGAGAACATCAAAGCCTGCTAGGGCTCCAGCTTGCGTGGCAGACAGCCTGGTGACACCCCGCCCGCCTCATGCTGCAGCATCACACACCAGGACCAGCAGTGCTAAAAAGCACCACTGTCCATCAACACTATGGTATCTAAAGTGTGATCGTATTGTGATTGGACAAAGTGATTGGGCTGCAAAATCAAGTGTTTCATATACATGATGCAGTCTGGAAGCCACAGGAGTAATTGTAAAACATATGCCTCTATACAAAAGATAGGAGATTCAAACGATTCAGTTTCACATATATTATTTCTGGAGTCCGTTTAAACACACCACCACCAGGATCTTAAAATCGACACACACTGGCCTTCACAGCTCATGTACATGCTGCATGTAAAACACAAAATAATAAAATCCCTGCCATCTAGGTTACTACTAGCTTTCAGCCACAGCAACAACTCTAAGAGGGGAAACTGGGAGCAAATAGATTCAACATATTAATTTTAACAATAAGTGTACATATTTGGACTCCATATGATGTGAAGAGAATGCTTTGAACCTATTGATTTCATCATATCTAAGGTAAAATATCATTTTATATAACACTAAAGAAAGAAAAACACTGCCAATTAAACTATAACCCACCAACAGTTGTAAGAGACATCCTAATTCCAGAAGATGTTAAAATGTCAAAAATTATGCATCTCAGAATTTTTGAAATATGGTGAATATTTTTACTAAGACATTTCATGTTTTAAAAGAAAACCTGTTTTCCTTTTGCAAAATCTCTAACCAAGATATTTTTGGTTCTGTATAAAAATGTCACAGACAAAATTTGCCATACTTTAATTAAAATTTTTCTCTCTGCCTTTGCATTCTCCCCAAAGATTTGAGTCTTTACAAAAACTTGCAGATACAATATAGATGTCAGCTCAACATAACCTTGATTTATTTAGCAAATCATCTACTAACTAAAATAAAATTTCAACCTTTATACAGAGTCAGGAAAATATAAAGCCTGAAAGAGAGAAATCAGGACACCACCCCAGTTTTCAAAGACCCAAGAGGCCTTATGCTCTATCTAATTCTTTTAAAAAGACTAGAAGCAATCCCTATTTCCATCTTCTAGATTCTTTATACTTGAGGGAAAGATATTCTTGAACCTTTTTGTCCTGGAAAAGAAAATGAAACTGAACAGTTTTTAATTTATTTTTTCCTCACTTTGGTACCAGGAAGATCTTGATCTCAGATTTAATTGAGACAGTCAAATAAATTCCTACAAGTATAGAGGTTCTATTGGAAAACATGACACAAAGGAGAGAAGTCAGTGGTGCTCAAAAGGCTTGGGTTCTAGTCCTAGTCTGACCACTAACTGGCTGAGGCCTTGGAGGTCACTTATGATTTCTGGGCCTAAGTTTTTTTCTCCTATGAAACAATTATCTGATTTCTAGAATTCTTTCAGGTCTAAATTCCTTGACTCCATGAAAATTGAGATGGAACACCCACTCCTAAATTAAAATACAGCACAAAGCAGATCAAATTTTGAAACACTCTCCATCTAGCTATATAATTTCTGCTAAAAGTTACATATGTTGGCGTTTAAAAAAAGTTTTCATTGGCTTCTTAAAAACTCTCCTTAATTAAGTGTAGACCATAGTAGGCGGCAAGAGTCTTGCTATTTTAAACCAGAAGAATTTAAGTATAATATACTTAAAGAAAAATATCAGAAAATTTGTAGATATTAGAAGGTGCTTTTTTGTACAAGGCTGCCAGTATTTTCTATATAATGGGGGATAAGAGAAAGCGTTGGAAGTCTGTCACCTTTATTCTCTAATTTCAGAGAGGAGCAGGGATACTGCGCTCAGCAAGTGCCCAGACCACATAAATCGACTTCATTTTATTCTTTAGTCATATATCCTTTCACTCCACTTTTCTTAAGAACATTATAATTTTCGTTTAATTTAGGAATGCCTTCTCTCTCTTTTTTTTTTTTAAGATTTTATTGGGGAATTGGGGAAGGGGAAGTGACAAGTTGCTGTCCTTTCACTCTAGAGATTCTGATGTAATGAGTCTGTGGTGGGGACCATACATCAGTACTTTTCAAAAGCAGCCCAGGTTATTCTAATGTGCAGCCAGAGCTGAGAAGGCCTGGCCTCAAGGGATCCTCACAGATGGGTCCCTGCAGTTTGACTGATAACACACGGTCTGGTCAAGTCACCTCTGCAGCACTATGATGCACAGCATCTAAAGATAACCAAAGACACTGGTGTTGAATATTTCGAAAGTTAGTGGCCAGTCTCTCCCACCACTGACGCATGTACCAGAAAGACCTATTATCCCATGCACGAAACACTTGCCCAGAATCAGGTTCTTAACAAGTTTTTGCTCATCCTCCTTCTTGTATTCCAGCATTCCTTGGAAATCCTTTTCTTTCCTGGGAATGTTGACTGGACGAATAGGTTCATCAATGATCTGTCCTGGGGATATGTTTTCCATCTGGCCCACTTCATGAGAAACACAAAGGAGAAGTAAATGTTTTCCAGGTAGAAAAGATGAGACGGTTCCATGTTCCTATAATTTTAAATGAACTCTATAACAGTGGAAATGTGCCATATTTTCCACTTCATTGTACCCTCTTTAAATATTTTTTTCTGCTAAAATTGGGTGGATAGATGGCAAAATTATATGGTAACGTCACTGGGACAGCCACTAGTGCTTGGCTACTATCAACATCAAAGAAACTTACTTCATTCAAAAGCATCTTTTTGGTCATAAAATTTACTCTGTAATAAGATTAAATGTCCCCAAAGTAAGTGGTTTAACTTCTGGGTTAATGAATTGTTACCAACCATAAATGGATAAGGAGTGCCGGCACAGTGGCTCAGTTGGTTAAGAGTTGGCTTGGGAGCCTGAGCTCTGAGCAGCAGGTCCGCTGATTCGGTTCCCACATGGGGGCCAGTGACACTGCCCTCTACAGCTAAGATGGTGAACAACAGCTCAACCTGGAGCTGGGCTGCTGTGAGTGGCCAACGATGGTGTAGGCTGCAGTGGGGCTGCTGTGAGCTACCATGAATGGCTGGCAGCCAGTGTGAGCCGCCATGAGCGGCTGTCCAAAGGCTGGCGACCGACTGCCTCACC